TGTACAGACTTGTATTTGTACAGACTTGTATTTGTACATACAGTATGTGTATTTGTACAGACTTGTATTTTTACATACAGTACTTGTATTTGTACAGACTTGTATTTGTTAGTTCACCTGGCCCGAAGGGCCAAGTGAGCTTATCCCATGCCGCAACGTCTGTCGTCCGTCAACTTTTTCCTTTAAAAAGCTACTAGTCCTGAACGGCTCAGAGGATTTTGACCAAATCTTGTTCATACTTGTATTTGTACATACTTGTATTTGTTCATACTTGTATTAATTTGTACAAACTTGTATTTGTACAGATACCTGACGATACAACAGTTGTGTCCTTCAAGATTACAGGGAAAGGCCAAGCTCTACTCTCGGTAAGTAACTCTACTCTTGATGGGTAAAACTCCACAAATAATAGGTAGAGCTTTAATTTTACTCTGGGTAGGTAAATTATTAATAAATCAGTTAAGGGAGAGAGAAAAAAGAGAAAAATCAAAAGAACAATAAGAACTAAATGTTTGATGGCGGGCATTTATCCCTCAGGAATCTTTTGTTACAAAACTGTTCTGATCAATAAGTTGAAAGGACAAAAACAGACACAGCAGTTTGGAGTTTTTTAACAAATTACGTACCATATTTTGCCTTTCTTGTTGACTTGACTTATAAGATGCAGATAAAAGATTAAACTGACATAGAAGTAATGTAGATTTTACTGGAGCCAGGACCCACTAAGTTCTTTTGTTTTCTGTTGTTCAGAGTTCTTACTGGTGTACAGGAAGTGATTCAGTTTTGATTGACATGTTTATTGTGTTTAGCTACAATGGAAGTACAACATCGTGACCAGTCCTCCGAATAACAACACCAACAAGTTCACCCTGGACACAAACACAGAAGCAATCAACAACGATATCTTCGATACCATCATTGATTTCCAGTAAGATTTCAAATCAGTCAATTAACATCAAGTCAGTCAGTTTAAAAGTGAACATTGAGTCGATGAGTCTTTGAGCTAACATCAAAACATTTAGTCTGCAAGCATTGAGTTAACATCAAATCATTTAGTCTGCAAGCATCAAGTTAACATCAAATCATTTAGTCTGCAAGCATTGAGTTAACATCAAAACATTAGTCTGCAAGCATTGAGTTAACATTGAATCATTTAGTCTGGCAGCATTGAGTTAACATCAAATCATTTAGTCTGCAAGCATTGAGTTAACATTGAATCATTTAGTCTGGCAGCATTGAGTTAACATCAAAACATTTAGTCTGCAAGCATTGAGTTAACATTGAATCATTTAGTCTGG